AGATGTGAGGTGGCTGAGAAATGGGGCCCTGACCAGCCGATCTGGAGCTGCTGGTAGGCTCTGCACTCTGGATAGCGGGGGATGTTTCCAGGGGCGGCAGCCTTTGGAAAACAAAGGAAATCTTATCTTACAGCACAGTGGATGCGAGCAGGGCTTCAGTTTGAATGCTGCCAGATCTGTAGTCTTTCTACTCCTGCCAAATTACTTAAACTCCTGAACCCTCCTTCCACTCACTCTTTCTTCCCCCCAACTCCAGGAAAGAATAATTTGAAGTAGAGTTTAAATGTGGCAAAACGGATGTCTATTACATGAATCGGCTTTTCTCTGCTCGTATCAGTGCTTGTACAGTGCTCATCTAGGAAAGCTTCAAGGGTCCCGTTTGTTAACTCGACCGACTCTGAAAATCTAGTCAAGGCACCATTTGGTAGAATTTTCGAAAATCTTGAGCCCACAGGTGAACAGTGGGGACTTTAAAATGGAGTTACTTGGAGGTCTGCTGTCTGACAGCGCCTGTCAGTCTGATTTGTGAGCATGTGAATGCCTTGGGCAATACTTTTAACAAATGTAATTGATATTTCTGGAAGATTTTGATTGAAGTTCTTTATATCAGTGTTGAACAACTTGAATGGAATATAGAGTCTGGATTTAAGTCCAAATTAGTTTATATGTTATCTGAATGTGTCTAAAGGTAATTTCAGTTTCTTTTTTATTAAATGAAGGTGGCAGTACCCAGATGAAACGTATGTTTAAAAAACATCCCTGAAGTAGGCCATCCTGTCTGCAAGAGGATCCTTGACATGCTTGGCATTGACTCAGTTATGCCAAATGTTGCCAGCAAATGTTGCTCTAGCCTGCTTGCCAAAATAAAAAAGCCACTAAATCTCATTATAAGCTATGCTTGACTACACTTTTTTTTTTCATAAGTCATGCAGCAGAATTGTTTCCTTAATTTTCATGGCACAGAAATATTTTGAAATTGTCTGCTGACAAATATTGGGGGTATTTGTTGATATTTTGTAAGCAGGCCTGTTTCAACTGTATTCATCCACTGCTTTGCCTTGAATTTACTGCTCCCCGTCACTTTTGTGACAGATGATGGGATTTTCTTCTGAGTTCTCCTTTAGGTTTGTTTCCTCTCTTCCTTTTCTCCCTTGCAGCATATGTTCTAACTTCTTCTGTGGGCTTTTTTCGATTTCTTGTAGATCTGTTTTTTTCTGTTGGTCTTATCCCATCTCTCCATCTGCCTAAAGAATGAATGATTCTCTTGGCCTGTTTTGTTGTTTTTTTCTAACCTGTTGTTTCTCTTGGCTTATGAATACATTTACACACACACTTATGTAAAAAGTTATTTTCGTGCTTGTCTCTATATCAGTGTTTGATTTCCTATATTTTGTGGGTTATATTAAATAGCTTCTGTGTCTGTATAGGTGAATTGAACTACAGTGCCACTAAAAGCATATATAAACTTTTGATTATTATTGAGCATGGTTCATTGCAAAAACCGACGAGCTCTTTTAACATAAGAGCTGTTTATTGAAAAGAAATTGAGCTTTTTCTGGTTGATGTCTTTTTGAAAGGCTGAGCTGTTAATAACGGGAGCAGAAATCACTTCCCTGCTGTAGTTGTTGAGAAACCAACTTTTAAGGAAACGGTCATTGATCTGAACAGCGTACCTCGTTTGATACAAAGATTCAGGTGTTTGTACCCACTTGAAGGAACTACTGCTGTTACATGCTAATGTTGGAGCTTTAAGAAACCTTTGGATTCATGCAGTTAGGCATTGACTTCCACCAGGGCGCTAACTTTGTAGATAGGTGTTTCTTAAAAGGTTTATTTAAATTATTAGGTGTTTCTTAAAAGGTTTATTTAAATTATTAAGTGTAACTTGAGAAGTTCACTGTGTTTCTACAGGGGTCTGGGTCGCGTGGTGTGGTCATAAATAACTTGGGGAAACGAGATGAGCAGTGGCTTGTTGATATGAAGCCATTCAGGAAACTAAGCATTAGGTAATAAAATGGCAGATGTAATTCAATGTCAATAAATCTGATGTAATTCAGAGTAGATAAATGTAGAGTGGTGCATATAATTTCGTATATGAAATGATGGGCTGACCCTTAACACTGGGGAATGAAATTTTGCCATAAAAGTGTCAGTTCTGTAGTGATCAAAAAGCAGATGAAACATTAAGAAGTATTAGGAAGGAAATAGAGGACAAACCAGAACATAATTATGAAACTGTATAAATCAATGGTTATCCCAGATCTTGAATTCTGTGTGGTTCTTTCTTGTCATTCATCTCAAAAGATACAAAGGAATTGGAAAAGCCTCAAAGAGAGGCAGTGAGAATAATCAAAGATATGGAATAGCTGCTGCACAAGGGTCAGTGAAATAAGCTGGAGCTCAGCCTGGAGAAGGAACAACTGAAAGAAAATAGTAAAAATCTGTCGAATAATGAGCAGCATGGGCAGGGCGGATAAGAATAGATTTGCCGATTTCCTCAGCTGCAAGAATGAAGGAGCAGCAACTGAATCCCATGAGATCCAGGTCTAGAACGAATAAGAAGGTGCCTTTTTTGTCTAACAGATAGCATCCCTGTGGAGTTCCTCGCCAATGGATGTTGTAGGTACAGGCGGGGAAGCTAACCATGTTTGTGGAAAAGATTCTTTGAGGGTTGTTATTCCATAGAAATTGCCTGAAACTTAGGAAGTATCTGAGCTCGAAATCATCGAAGTATTGGGGTGAGCGTCATCCCTGTTCTTGTTCTTCCCTGCTGTCATTGCTGAAGATAAAATGGCATGCTGAGCTAACTGGCCCTTTGTTCTGATCCAGTCCTGTCTTCAGATTAGGAAATTGTGTAGATAGTAAGTAGAAGCCTCTAGTTTATATGTGCATTATTTGCATTATGTAATTTATAATGTAATGGAGCTTATAAACCTATGTCATATTCTATCTGTACAAACCTCCGTCCCCAACACCAGTCTCTGTGTTAAAAGCCGGGTCTTCACCATCAACAAGGAAAAACAATCCTTGTTTTTTGTGGGGGTCAACTTGGCAGTAGCATTTGTGCTCTGAACTTAAATGTTGCATTTTTCCTCCTCTTGTGTTCCTCTCTATCTCCTACGCTCACCCTGAAAACCTTCTGGCTGCGCTGGGGCATGTCCATCTATTTCACCTGCTCTTGGTCATCCTTTCAAGAGTTCTTCACCTCTCATCACTGTTTGTTGGCAGTTGGTCAAACTGAATATAACTTCAGGTTTGTGACAGTTGCCCTTTTGTATGGCTAATGAAGGCTGACAAAGGCAGTCAGTTTTCATTGTGGTGAAGCTCTGGAAAGCTCTAAGTGCAGTAGTTGTCTTCATGAAAAGATAGCACAGGACTCCTTGGTCCCTATTTTCAGTGTTTCTTGTAAGTGTTGAGAGGTTAGAAGTTCGGTACACATTGATGACACCTTTGCCATATCCACTTTGAGTTAACGCTAGCTGGCTGGAGGCAGTGAACGTAAATAAGAGCATCCACTACCTTTAGGATGTTCTGAAACACTTGGAGGATAAAGCGTCAGCAAACTATAGTTCTTATATTTCTGACAATAAGATCTGCATGGGGATTTAATCGGGTTTTGGTTTAGGTGCATTAACTTCACCTGCAAGCAGCCTGCCATAACTTTTCTGAGCCCCAGTTTAGAAAAGACCTCGAATACTTTACAGGCATCACTGTCTGGGTAGGCTGCCTACTCGGTATGAATATTTGAAATATTTTTTCTTAGGGTAATGTGATTCATTTGCATTGTATGTCAGTCCTGTGTGAGATGAAACAGGTAGAGGCTGAAGACTTTGGTTTTCATGAGAACTTGTATCAAGAGGAAAGTATTTGGGTAGCACATACCTGTATGGGCCAGAGTCATTAAAACAAAGCCACCGCTAAGAAGCGCTACCAGTTCAACACTTACTGTGGTTTGAACGAGACAGACGTAGAGTTTGTCTCATGAACTCTTGCTTGAAATAGTTTTATTATTTTCAACAAATTTCACTTTATCTTACCTTACTTTTCAGCAAAATGTCTGGAACTGATGATTTTTCGGTAAGTAACAGTTTTTGTTTCCTGAAGATCAGCCACTTGTGTTACTTCATTCTAAAAGCTGACATACTTTTTCAAGACGAAGGGGAGCTTACAGTTGGGAGGCGATTTCCTCCGTATTGCAGTTGTGGTTTTTTCCTTTTGGGTAGATGTAGCAATCCGTGGACTAAACATAGGAAGCTGCTATGTGCCTTGTGGGTTCTTTTTTGCTGTGATATTAACAAAGGAGTTGTGTTTTAATAGTGTCAGAGTAGCTATAATGCAAATCTATGAAAAATCTTTCCTTTCTGGATTTGCGCTGAAATTGCTTATTGCTAGGTGTGGTAGGTCGCCTTTTATCTTTGGTTTTCTAACTGCAGCATGTCAGAATGCCTCTTCTACCTTAACGATAGAAGCCGCACAAAAATGAATGTAATCATCTGTGCGCAGCAACAGAGAGCTCTCTTCCTCCCATTTTGGCAACTGAAACGTATACATGTAGTGGGTGAATGTCTGCAACTACTAAGTCCAGTAGGCATTTTACATTCTCACTGATGCTTTATCTTTTAGTTGGCAGATGCTTTACCAGATCAGTCGCCTGCTAAAACCTCCAAAGTGAGCAGTACAAAACCTGGTCAACAGCCTGGTCAGCCACCGCAGGGTTGGCCAGCTTCGAATCCTTGGAACAACCCCAGCGCTCCCCCTACGGCGCCAGCCGGACTGCCGCCAAATACGTCCGCTTCCAGTGTGCCATTCGGACCTCCACCAACAGGAATGTATCCTTCAATGCCCCCTGGACCGCCTGCTCCATTTCCTCCTCCTCCTACTGGACCCTCTTGCCCTCCTCCTGGTGGTCCATATCCACCCCCAACTGTGCCAGGTCCTGTCCCACCAGGGCAGTATCCTCCGCCAAATATGCCCTTTCCAGAGCTTCCAAGACCTTACGGTGGTCCAACGGAGCCAGCTGCGCCTCCTGCTCCTGTTGGGCCATGGGGATCCATGCCCTCTGGCGCATGGGGACCAACAATGGGAGGGCAGTATCCTGCACCTAGCATGCCATATCCACCCCCAGGGCCATATTCCGCTCCTACCCAGACTCCAGGGGCTGCGCCAACAGTACCATGGGGTACGGTCCCACCTGGAACATGGGGACCTTCACCGCCAGGTCCGTTTCCTCCACCCGCAGGATCATATCCAGCTCCAGGACTATATCCTACGCCCCCTAATCCTTTTCAAGTGCCATCTGGTCCTGCTGGTGCTCCATCAATGCCTGGTGGTCCCCATGTGAGTATTTAATTTTGGTCTTGAATTACTCTAAAAGATTATAATTTAAGCGTGGAAATTCAATAGCATATAAGACCTGTTAGCGCAGGTAAGGAATTTCAGCACATCTGTCTTATTTCTGTAGTCAATGGAATAATAGGCAACTTCTTAAATGCTTAACTAAAATACTAGAGCAGTAAAATTATATCAAGTTGGAATGTGTCTAAGCATCACATTATAGTGGTTTTCCACTACTTGGGAAGCCTTCTCGAAAACGCAAAAAAGGGGGGAAAGCCTTGTAATAATTTCTGAAAGATGAAATATTCTCATCTCTGTAATCTGGAGAGATTGCTTCTAGGGCACACAGGGAGGGAATAACAAATTCTAAGGATGAATTTGGTTTTAATTATGAATTTTTGTAACTGTGCATTAACTGCTATGTGAAAAGCCTGTATTGACCATGAATTATTGTCTCTTGCAGCCTTACCGTTGAATACATTCTGGGCAACAAAATACTGTAGCTTTCCACCTTCATCCACTACTTACAGAGATTTTTACAGTTTTTGTTTCAGTAATGTTTGGGGCTGTGAAGAATACTCGCCTCTTGTATGTGCATTGGAGGTATGAAGGAGCAGTTTGCGTAAATTTACCTTGCTCGTATGCCGGCATAATTGTTTGGTTTAATAAAATGAATTACAGAGAGCAGAGATAAAACTAGCATCTGTGGTTCTTACATCGGCAAGTATTCCTTGGAAAAGCGAGAGCTGCCAAGTAAGGATTATAAAGAATCAGGCCCAAGGACTTGAAAAAATGTCAATTCTTAAATTTCCATGAATGCTTTAAGTCTTGTTGCCAGACTTGTGCTGGTCGCTGAATGGATGGATAGTCATATTTTGTCTATTTTCAGGTTATTCTAAAATGTCAATAAAAAGTGTTTCAAGATTCTTGTCAAGAAATCTAATTTTTGAACATGCTACAGTAATTCAAACTAAAGAGACGGAGCATGTGAACTTGTAGGTTTTCTCAGCATTTTGTATATACTCAAAACAATTGCTCAGTCTGGGACTACGGAAGAGAAGATACACATCTGAAATACTTGGTCTGACTTGTCAGCACACTGTTCGTGTTCACAAACAGGCATTTATGTGCAAATTAAATAACCTGGATGTGCAGTTAACTTCGAATCAACAAATGTGAGTTTTATGCATGCAAATGAGGACATCATTTTGCCAGTTCTCATTCTGTGGTGGTTGGAAGTTTGGCTTGGTCTGTGTAAAGAGAAACCGATTCCCACTTAGGTAAGGTACTTCCCTATTTCTAACCTGGGTTCTAGTCATTTAAAATTCGACTTTGCTGCTGAGTTGTGTAAACTCGACAGACTTTTTCAGAGTCCCTAGAAACTGAACTTGAGCTTAAAAGATCAAAAAAACCCCAACCTGACAATTCCCTTCCCAGCGGTTTTTGGCATGGCATTTAGTTCTGTCAGCTACAAAGACCCGTATTGCCACGCTTGAGAATGAGGAGGTCTCGTCAGGGCTCCGCTGAAGACTGTAATGGGGAGAAGTCCTCTGTTCTCAACTAGGGGTCTGCATACCTCACTGAGTAAGTGTAATTTGGGAGTAAGTGAATGTCTAGAAGCCTGTGCACTGCTGTGTAGCTGTCCCCCCTCTGCTGGGGCACTGCAGTAAGTTTTCATATTCTTGCCATATCTGTGCGAAGAGCACGCGAGGGGTTTGCTGCAATGCTGGTTTAGCATTACCAAGACACGCAGCCACGTGTTGGTGAGGAGTTCTGGCACTCTTTGTGGTACTTCGTAGCCTAGGCTTTGACCATGGACAGTTTGTTTCATGCCCAGCTGGGGATGTCCTAACTTAGCCTCTGTAGGTAGAATTAGGAACAAATTTTGCTTAATGTGGTAGCTCATTAGGGAGTCTTTGTATCATGGAACTGTGAAAGCGAGTTAATTCTCTTCCAGTACCTTATCGTGGCTTCCTGCATGCATGTGATGGACTACTTAAAAACAAATGGGGTGACCTGGTGGTGATGTTTGTCAGTGGTCTTAGCCTTTACGGCAAACTCCTGCGATATTTTTGCAGAAGAAAGCAGTCAGCTTAGCTGTGGCCGTTTTAATCTAACGTCAGGAAAGCTAATAGCAAAGGTCTGTGTATTTTTTGTTCTAGGAAGATGATGCTGGAGCTGGACAAAAATACTTCACATTTCAGCTTAAAACCTAGCATCTGTAACCCTAGAAGCAGGAACCAAAAGCGCAAGTCTTCACTAACCTCACACAAGCCCCACTTTCCCCCCAAACAGACTTGGCTTAGATCTTGGCAAGACTAATCAAAAATTAACGTAAGAGAACATGGATTACATTTGCTCAAGTGCTTTTTTGATACCTGCAGCCTTAGATTCTAAATCAATGTAATGAAAAAACCCACATTTATTCCGAATGAATGGATCATGCAGTAGCAGTACTCCAGCTTGAAATTGCACTGGCCGTACGTCTTTGCAGGGAATGGGAAGAGGTAGGAAAGGCTAAAGCAAACGTAGCAAGTAATGATTTTTGGAAAGGGGGTTTGTAAAAGTAACTAGATTTCTAGGTTCTTCCTGAAATAGGCAGGATTTATTACTGGAACATTTAGGCTAAAATTCAGTATATATGGGATGTTTTTCAATGTATATTCGTATTTCTTGAGGTCATGAAAACTGTTTCATAAGCCCTTTGTTTTTGTGAGCAAAGTTCTTTGCATAGCAGTGAAAAGGGTATACCTGTTAATCTATTGTGTAAAAACTCAAGTTGTCACTATATACCGTGTAGTAACTTTATCACATGTTATGTCAAGTGTGAGCAACTTCTGGCCTGAAGCTTTTGCAATGGAATTTGTACATTTCTATGCATCATTTGAGTTAAATTGCTGAGAAGTTCGTTTTGACTTGTGCTTTGAGATTGACATACTGCATTTGTTTACAATATGAAATATAAGCAATCACATCTTTAAAGTATAGATTATCACCTGCTGCTGTATTTTCTTTAGATGAAACAAATATTGCTGTATGATAGTGAGAAGCTATAAATACAGGATTTGATATTTTTTTGAAAATGCTGTCACTTTTGTATAAGATTAGACATTAAACGTATTTTCAAGACTGTCGTGTTTACTGTTTTTCAATTACTGCTTTTGACATGCTTGTGTAGACTTTTGCCTTGAATGAATGGTAAAAATAGGACATCCTTGATTTGCAAAGACTGAATATAAAATCAGAATTACTTGACTTCTGTGAGTGTTTTTCCTCTTCCTTTTGTGATTTTTGCAGCCCGTGCGTAAGGCATCTTAAGTGTGGATGCGACCATTGCTGTGTTGTAGCACGTCAGCCTCAGGTATTGCCTCTTCCCAAACCGTCTTGTTAATTAAGAGAAAAAAAGATCTGATCTTGCTTGTTCTAGAGGAGGAATGGGATTTATTTTTCACCCGTGGAGAGCGTGGTGTGGATTTTTTTCCTGGCTCTGAACAATTCCTGTGCTAGATTGACACATGTGGATGTGGTAAGTGACCCCCAAACCAATGGGTTTATATATTTATCAGGGCTCTGATGGGATAGGGTGTATAACAGTGTGTGAGAAACTCCAGGGCTTGGCAGTGGTGTGAACTCCAAAGCTGGGGCATCACTCATCACTATGTTTACATTTTTCCTATGCAGTGGCTTGCAGAACCATTCACGCTGAGCTGGCCAATGCTGCTACCTTTGTCCACACCTTCACCCTTTTGGAAAGGTAAAAATGGCAGCAGCGAGCAGCAAAGAGTGGAAACAAAAATATTTATCCACCTTAAGGCTTAGAAAACAAGCTTTTCTTAGACCATGCACTGAATGTAATCCTTACATCTGTTAGTAGAACACTACCACAGGTGGCCGATGCTTTATCTTAACAGTGTTCAGCTGTGGGATTGTCTGCTCCTCTGGATTCCTCAGATGAATTGGCTTAGAGGTGAGGACATGGGTGTGCTGATCCAGTTACGTTAATGGCTTACTGCCCTGCAGGCCCAAATATCTTTAATCAAATTTTAGGGGAGCGTCTGACAAGCAATGCTTATCTACATAACTCTTAGGGGAGTAGCTAGTTTTGGAAAAACTGTTCCGGGGGTCTTGCAAAGTGGCGAGTACGTGCACGGTTAGCTCCACGGCGTAGATGTGGGGAAGGCAGACGCCTAAACGGACGCCAGGCAAGTTCAGGCCCATTTCTGCACACAGCCATTGATTCACTAATCAGCCTGTTTAAAACTGCCTCCACGCCGCCCAAAGGGTGGGATGTTGATGTGAGCATTGTAGTAAGAGCCCGTAGGCATCTAAGTAGGGACAGAACTTCCCGTACGTACTTCTCTTAATAGTGGCTTTCCTATTTCTGAAGTTAAGCACAAAATTCTAATTATTAGAATGCAGTTCCACGCGCTTCAAAGGGCCGTTACTCACCGGGCACGTAACATGAGCGTGTTCAGTGTCACCTGGCAAATCAAGAAGTGCAGGTTTCAACTTTAAAGCTTCTAACCAACTAGTACACGTCGCCAGATTCGCTGTCGCTGCGTTACGCAACGTAGCGTGCTTACCCCTGAGGCGCCTGGAGAAAGATCATGAGTGGACTTGGATCCGGACGTGCCCTGTGGGTGGATACAGGAATTTGTGATGTCTGGGCTCCAGCCAGGAGCCACCGATGCCGGGGCGTAGGCACCACTTCAGCACGGGCAGGGGTTGCGCTACCAAAGGTCGTGCTCTGACAGGGGGTGATGGCTTGATAGGTAAAATGGTTGGATCGTCATGGATCCGGCTTTCCCAAATACATTTTCTCAGTAGTTGTGGTGGGAGCATCAATTCTAACCGCCCTCTCAATCCAGCAGAATTTGAGTTAACTTGATCTACAGATGTGCATGTGTGCACGCACCCGTTCTGCTGATAACAGCAAGGTAAAATCTCTTTTTGGTCACTCTTGCCTGCAGAATCTCTCAGGCGTGTGGGAAATCTGTGTGCACCAAAGCTGTTGAAAGCAGGTACTTCTTAGGCTGCACCTCGAATGCTGTGTTTGGTTTTGGGGCCCTCACTACAAGAAAGACGTTGCGTTGCTGGAGCATGTCCAGAGGAGAGCCACAAATCTGGGGAGGGGTCTGGAGCCCCAGGCTGCTGGGGAGCGGCTGGGGGAGCTGGGGGGGTTCAGCCTGGAGCAGAGGAGGATGAGGGGAGCCTTCATCGCTCCCTACAACTAAGGGGCTGCCCAGGGAAGGGGTCGAGTCCCCAGCCCTGGGGGGATTTAAAAGCCGGGCAGACGAGGTGCTTAGGACTGGGGTTTAGTGGTGGGATGGCAGGGTTAGGGGAGTGGTTGGGCTTGATGATCTTCAAGGGCTTTTCTAACCCAAAAGATTCTGTGATTCTATGATTCTGTTCAGAGATCTGCTGATTGTTTGAGGTGACCCATTTCGTGACAGTGAAGGCAGAAGAATGGGGGCTTTGTATCCTCCGTGCAGCAGATCCTAAGCTGTAGTAAAGTTACAAGTCACACCTAGGTAAGGGACAGTCCCTGTAATAGTACAAACACTTCAGTTCTGTGGTACCGCTTCCCAAAGGGTACCTACCCTCCCTGGTAAATGAGGGATTGAGAGAGAAAATCACAATACCTGTGTCTCTGTCCTCGTCCCAACTTTCTCATGACGCTCAGAAGGGAAGGGCCATGCTGAGACAGCAGCCGGCCCGCCTTTGTGTTTAATTTCAGGTCCTACTTCTGTTGTCTGCACAGGATTTTACCTGCTCTTGCAGACTCGGGTTCTTACGGTGGAGATTAGGGGAGGCGATTCTTGGAGCACTCAACCCTTAAGTGCTCGCATCGAACTGTGCCATCAACCACTTGGTGGAAACGATGGCTTAAGTGTACCCTCCCTAGCACTTCCCCCTCTGCCACCACCCCGCTTGTCTTTAAACCAGTTACTTCTCTGATACAACCCCACGTACGTCCCATGA